TCTCTCTCTCTCTCTCTCTCTCTCTCTCTCTCTCTCTCTCTATATATTACTATTATAGGATGTTGGGATAGATTGAGATATTCTTCGTATACCAAAATATGTATAAGGTATACATGTCTATCAGATAACTACATTTATGAATGATGTCTATTTCTAAGGCGCAATCGGCTAGCAAAACTGTCAACTTCTTGCTTCGAGTTCTACTGGTATTTCTACTGGTATTTCCTTACGAGCTACTTCCCTTGCATTGCATAAAGAGTCCAGGGAGGTTTTCACGCCCCCAGGAGTTCTTTATTTATTTTCCCATTTTTCATCTGATTCCTCTGATATGAACCTTTACACAACTACATGTAAAATTTGAAATCGATCGTACTAGTAGTGCAAAGCACAGTTTGCAGTTAATTAAGGTAATAGGATTGTGTCGCCATTTCTCAGTAGAATTTATTCAAGTTTTGTAGTTATATTGCTTTAAAGTAAAGAAAATTTTCTGACACAAAAGAAATATAGGTTGTCAGAATTTTAAATGGAATTTATGTAAAAAGGATTGAATTTTGAAAAAAAATTCAAACACACATTCTTATTGCAAAATAATTTCAATAAAAATGATACTAACATAGATTAGTATTGCATTAATGTATATCAATTTCATAAATGCTGAAGTTGTGTAAAATTAATCATCTATAAACGATTAAAAATTGATATTTTATAATAAAACCATATACACATAGTAATTGCATGCAAGAGTTATCGTTCTTGAAAAACTTCACAGTAGTGAAATAGGTAGCCGGTTTCCTGAAGTACAGAAAAACGGACACATGTGACTCATTGATTAAAAAACAACTGAATTAATACCTGGATTGCTTTGCAATACTTTAATACACACTGTTCTGTCAATAATAAGCATACAATATTCATCAGTTTAATATTAAACATTAGGATATGCGGAAATTGTGATACTGTCTCCCTACATTGGATTTTCAACTAGGGATGTATTTCCTATTTCCGTTTAGCAATACACTCCTATGACCTTAAGCTAGCCGATTAAATCGTCTGAAGAGCCCCAAGATGGGCGAAAGCGCTAGCCGATTATGTATATATATATGTTTTATATGAATTGTTATTGTTGAGACTTTCTTGAAACATGATATGCTAGTATGGAGAATTTAGAGCAGACAAAACCGAAAAAGGTTTCTTAGACACAGGGCATACTTTGTTTTTGTGTCTATGGTGTCTATTTATATAGAAGGTTGAGCTACAGGATGCGGGGATAGATTGTCAAATATAAAGAAATGGTACGTAACAGAAATAACTCACAACAGATAAGTCACTATGGAGACTTTTCATTGGAGAATTTCTAAATTACAACAATTTCATGGTATGACATATATAAATGACTGATGGGTATTCTGAGTTTCGCTATTCTTGGAATAAGACAAGGTGCAGTTATTTGTCCTCATCTTTTTTGAAATATAGAAATCAATCACAGGAAAGAAGTTTACCATTATTTTCATACGAAATCATAAGTTGGTAAAGTTATATTCTGTATAAGGATTGCTTCCCTTGCTCATATTCCTAATCATATCCTCATCAATCAGAATGTATTAGAGTGATTTATTATGCGTAAATATGCAAGGCTCACGTTGACGAGCGAACTAAGTCGTAAACATGTTTATATGTATATACACACTAAACTTTGTTGAAATCAGACCATTAAAGACGTAGTCGATGCACGGAAACTAAAACGTGACAGACGGACGGGCCCAAATCTTCGAAAAGCGGGTGATAGAAATATTCACCAAGTTGTTGCTCTATCCATATCTATCTATTTATTTCTTAATTAATGACAATTGCTACACCCAGCAACGTGGATACCTATTTAAGTTATAAATTGAAGCATAGATCGTTAGAGAGAAACATTCGGTCGAGTCTGGCCTCCGACTCGAGAGAGTTACTCTCGGACTACCGGTGTACTCCAAAGGTGTATATGTTACCATCTGTATAAAACGTTGTTATCTTGTACTTAACAATCTGTGGGATTCTTGAATACAGCATAATCCAAAATAGAAGGACAAGCGTTTCTCAGTGTCGTCATTTCGACTCCGACCAACACACATCCCGTTATAGGACAAATAATATGACCCGGGACTTACATAAATATTTTACTGAATCATTCATTATCTACTAAAATAAATAGGTTTCCTGAAGTCCATGGACAAGCATACTATATATGTTTACATCAGAAAGGTATATATATATAGGGATTGAATGATTTTTTTCATGTACATTGCGGCAATGAATAGCAGTAGCTGATTTACATATCCTGTGGAGCGCGTTAACGTTAGGTGTTCTTAATCACTGCTATGTTTTATAAGTTTAAACAAAGTAGATTTCTTAGGTTTGGTCTTAATTCACCAACACATTATATTTCATTAACTTTACTTCACTAAAACCATGTTATTATCATTAACAGTACATACTTAGACATAAGTAACAATATAGGCCGATAATTAGGCAATTAATGACGGAGATTGGATACATCTTATAACATGTAAGATAGTGGGTATCAATAGAGAGCAGCACCTTGGTCAAAAGTACATTGAAGACAAATCTTACGATTTGTGTAACACTGTGCATTGATTGACAGAGAGACTGTAACCCCTGTCTGTTTCGGGGAGTTCACACTCTCGTTGTTATCTCTATGTAATTCATGACTAATCTTGTTGCTACAAGATGGATAGTCCTAGAGCAATATCAACAGTTCAACAGCCAATCAATGCAAGCTGTTTCCCAAATCGTGAGTTATGTCCAAAGTGCTGCTCTCTATTGATATCAATTGTTATAAGATGGTTCGTATTTTTATCATCAATAGTCTAGTTATCGGTCTATTGTATTACAGTTTTAATAAGTTATCATAAATCAACTAGAGGAAGAAATGGAAATCAACGACAAAGCTGTTCATGTTTAAGAAGTGAAAATAAATAATATTGTATAAGAAAAATAATTAATCATTAATATGTTATAAGAACTTTATAATTATGAGAGATTCTTCGAAGTGACAGCAATCAATATGCTGGGCTATAAATATTATACCATTACCTACTTGATGTTAACGTTGACATCCCGCCAGGAGTGACACACCGTGGGGAAGGATTCATAGACTCACAAAACTGGTGCTTATATTAAATAATTGATAATAGCACGGAATTAGATTGCTATAAAGTCCGTGATATAAATTACAGAATCTTATGAACGTAACACACACAAACAGGTGATTGCTCCTTTTAAATTTGGTTATAAATACAGTATGCGAAAACATGAACAACACTGCCATATACAGCTGTTTCGTCCTTCAAGGACTCGTCGATGGTGCTAGGGGCAAAACAGGGTGGACAAACAGAGGGTGTAAAACCCTATACTAGACAGAGAACATGACTATGAATATTATTTGATAGAACATGCAGAAGCTGTTTATTCAGTGGATGGATGAACCCAATTAAAACAATTATTCGTCACTTTTCAAAATGAAAACGCATCTTTCATGAATCTTAGGTATTCCTTACATTATCTGCTGACTCCGTGATGAGGTCAATACATATGTTGTATGTATGTTTGTTATAGATACATACTTAACTTTAAACCTTTTCAAGGTTTCTAGTAGTAATTGCTAAAACGTCGACTCTGCGTCCTATTGATTGATCGAAGTTCTTTTCACCATACTTGGGGCTTACACAACTGTGTTGGTGCAGCTGCTTCAAATCTAAATTCTCTCATGCAACCACTGTTTTGGATAGGCTACTGATTATTTGTCGGATACTTTAGATCAATTCTCATTCTGTCTTACCAACGCTATCGACGACGCACAGTTCAAACCTAAAATGGTCTTACAGCGACCAAAGCACTTAAATATGTATTTCGCACATAAATGAAATCGACAGCGCAAACAATTAAACATTCGAGTCTGGTCGACAGAGAAATGATGGAGTGCTGAGCATGTCAGGGCGGCAAGATGTGCAGACAATGCTGGGTTTGATTGTCACTTGTTTTCCCACAGAATATACACAGGCCAATATGCTAGATTGAACACGAGGAAGGTGAGTGGAAATGCAATTCGAGCGACCTTATCTGCTGTCCTCGCTTTCTCTCTCGCTTCTGCTGATGGGCCAGGAGTCTGCAAATATCAAGATAACAACCTTAAAAACTTTTAACAAAAATTTATGAAACAGGTCACCTAGAATTTCAATAAAGACAACTATATATTAATATATTTAATAAGCATACTAATTTTATTTTTATACCAAGGTCAGGGTATCAATAAGGATGGAGTATTCAGAATATGTCAGTCGTATTTTAAAGTCAGACGAAAAGAAAGTAACATCAAACTAACCAGTGATTAAAAACTACAGCAACGATAATTAAATGTCCCGTCTAAATCTTTGATTTTTTTCTTGTCATTCATGAACATAATTTCTGTAACATGCGTTCGATGTTACAGAAATTATGTTCATGAATGACCAGATAAAAATCAAAGAACACTTTATCTAAATGTTTCCAAAGCTTCAGATACAATTACGTCTTACAGATTTACAGAAAAACGGCACAACTAAAACGTTTGCATTTAAGAGGATGTTTGTTCATTATTGACAATAATTACCAATGGAAATGATATCTAATGAAGATGTAGTTTGAAATTTTTCGGTAACTTTTTTTCTGTCTTTATCTTCCCGGGTCTGACCATACCAAAGGTAGCTCTGGTAAAGCGGATATCAAAATACGATGACCGGATGAGTTTGGCGGTATCTATGGTAAGGCACATGTGAGAATACTGTGACGCAGCGAAACTAAGACCAGATTGTCAACTTAGTATAAATCATGTCAGAGGGCTATCCAATTCAGGAAAGTATTTATATTTAGCATTTAAGAAGCGTTAATTATAGGTTTATGTTTTGTGGTGTTTCATAACTGTTATGTGTTATTTAAGTATTGTTATATGTACATTATTGAACGGTGTTTTATGCATTATGTGATGTCACTCTCCGGTCCATTCTAATTATGTTTAGAGAATGCTATATGTATATATGTATGCACCTATAAGCCTAAGGACTTTCGACTAATAAAGAATGAATGAATAACGTTTTTTTCTGGCTAGACCAATATTTGAATTCTGTGACTCTAAGTTCGACGTTTTTTTCTGGCTAGGCCACTGTTATACTTCTATCGTGGTTTCACTGGCTAGCTGGTTACTGTCAAAATACTGAGATTGGGTGAGTTCGATTATGCCTTTGGCTAGACCGGTATCACTGGCTAGGCTTCTGATAGTTTGGCGGGGTATTTGGTTAGGCTACTATCAGAACACTGTGCCATAAATATAATAATAATAATAATAATAATAATAATAATAATTCGAGGTACTTATAAACAACTTTATCACAACCTAGTTCGTAGGTCGTCTCAAAGCGGTTCACACATTATTGTCTGTGGTTATAGGACCTTTGCAACCAGCCAATATCTTTCTGAACTCCCTTAGGAGCATACAGCCGGAGCTGACATTTCGGCGCTAACAACTAGCTTTCAACAATTCTAGCACTGACCAACCACGTACTCCTTTACAGCTGAGTAGACTGAAACAAGCGGAGTAAAGTTTCTTGCTCAAAGATACAACACAGTGCCGTGACTCGAACCCGCAACCCTTCGGTCATGAGCCCGGCGTCCTACCACTAGACTACCGTGCCTCCTAATATGTGTCATGCTAACGTGTCCTTTCTGTGATATTGGTATTTAAGTGTCATGGTAGTTGTAAATAGCTCTTCAGTGCCTCCATCATATACGGATAATGTATACAGGTACTTGATATACATATGTATATGTATAGAGACAATACTTACTATGTGTAACATAACATCATTTACCCCATGCTGGCATAGTGAGTATTGAACTTAACTTTAATCAATACTTCGTTGCTGAGATGTTCTTTGAGTACATGGCAAACAATAATTATTATAATCCCACATAGAAATTGCTTCAACACAGGTCATTAGACATGACCTATTTAAAGATAATTACTGAGATACAAAAGCACAGATTAAAGTACAGACTTTTTCAAAAATACGATTACTAAAAGAAACTTAATAATAAAAATAAAATAAAAAATAAACAACAGAAAACAGGCTTAGTTTGCAGGATAAGATGAGTCATTTGGTCGTAACGATGTATTACCAGGGTGTTCGGTCGATTAATGAAAATGTCTGAAAGTTGTATTAATGGCTTTATATCCGTTGTTCTAAACAAAGTTTGATAATATCTACAAGTTTTCATTTAAAGTTTTGATACAGATCAATCTATTTTCTAAATGTTTTTTGTTTAATTTTAACAACTCATACACATTACATCTCCAGCACACACGCAGGCATACACACACAGGGAGGTATTAACCAGGTGGAATAGGACTAGTAGTAAGCGCCTGTTAAGGCAGCTCCTGCGAATTCCTCAAACTTGTATTGATTAATGTATATGCTAATTGTATTAATTGTATACTTATGTACTGTAAAGCGTTTCAGGGTGTTTTATGTTAGCTACATATGTCTCATTTGACGAATAATTGCGATGAAATATAACAGTACAGATCCCACAACACACTAGGTAGAGATATATAACAGTACAGATCCCACAACACAAACGAAGGTTGAATCTTAGAAATCAGCATTTTTGTGAAATATGACGTGATTTTGTGTATTTATAAGATGATATTGTAATTTGCATTTGTGCCTAAACATTGTGCCATGATCATGAATTACCATCTAAATTACATAGCATGTGCTCTTATCGAATTTACAGTGCTTTATGAAAAAATGACAACTCATAAATCGCAACGTTAAATACAAATTGATACAAAAATGTAATTTACCCCTCGTGCCCTTCTGTGTCCTCCCAATTTTCAATTTATTCATCATATCCCATTTCATTACCTAATATTGATTTTCACAAATCAAGGTTTACAAAACTGACATTTATTCAGTCGCCATTGATATAGGTTTTCACTGTTCAATACGGGTGTGTGCTGCAGATGGATATTTGTTGTATGCTGCAAACAGTTATTGTTTGTATAGCTTCACACATTTTTTTTTGTCATGAATGATTTTATTTTTCACGCCTTTTTAAAATTTACAATACATTAACATGACATATACAAACGCTCCCACAGACAAACATTTACAGCTACTCATGTTTCAGCATAACGCTCAACACCTTCAATATTATCTAAACTCAACACCATAACAATTTGACACATTTATAATTTATAAGTATAGCCATTCCGGATTGATCGAGGCCAATCTCCGGACGGTAAATTTGTGTGTTCAAATACATTTACATACGTTATAAGTGAACAGAGACCTATAAAACAGCACTTGTGTTATCATACTTAAGCATTTTCTTATAATCATGATTGTGTTGTGAAAATACGATTACAAGTGATAAGGAATTTGAAACTTAAATCTGTTTAATAGAATATTAAATTCAGTAAGGATTTCTTTCACAAATCTTTGGATTTCGCAAATTCATGTTGTTTATATTCTACATTGAACTCTACTGGCCTAGCTGTAACACATAAACGTATTGATTTTTTTCATAGGCGTCAGATGTATTTATAGAATTGTATCATAAATGGAAGTTATCTTATGATACTTTGCACTTTAGATCAGTCTGTTGAGATAAGATTAATCACTTTGGAAATATGTTATATCAGAGTTAACTTGATACACAAGCATTGTACGTATCAGATGTGTCGCAACGTTTCAAGACCGACTAGTCCCTTGGTCAAGCTATGACTGAGTGAACGCTTTGTATTGTTTACATGTACAAGGATGTGACGAAATCGTTTCTTTCGTCACATCGTTGTACAGGTAACGACAATCATAGATTGACAAAGGGACCAAGCGAAACGTTGCAACACCTTTGATAGTTCATTGTTTGTGTATAAAGTAAAACTTTGATATATCAAAGAAAGCCAATACAGAAAATAACATGTTCTGTGAATTCGTTGAACAAAATAATTTAAAAGTCTGTACTAATGCAGCAATTCACTTGGAAAACACGCAGGCTTTTCTTCGTAAAAGATCAATCAATAAGAATAATCCTATTTATTCACAGAATCAGATAGATGGCAAATAATTGGTCGCCCATAACATGTAAGAAGGACGGCTGAGGCACGGCTGACTATGAAGTGGATCAAAGAAATATCAACGAAGTTTTGATTCAGCGGTGTGTAAATAAGTCTCATCCCTTGAAACATAATGAACTTTGTCCAACTATTATGATTGTGTTGCGTCACCTGTAGTATCTGTGGGGAAACGGCGTTTGTCACGTGTTGTAGGATCTGTATTGTGAGTTGATTGCAAAGATTTACCGGTCGGAGATTAGCTACGGTTGAACCGGAATTGCTGCATTTAGGTGATTAAGAAACCTTATCATTTGCCTTTTAAGATTTTACATGTAACTAATGAAACATTTCGATAATTAAGAAATAACCACCTTTGATATTTTCATAAACAATAATATATTAGGTAGTAAGATCACAACTAACTTAATCCAATATTTTCAGTCGAATAAAAAAAAAAATGAAACCAAAAAATATTTAATTTTAAGTTGCTGCGATCAGATTAAATAAGAATATTTTGTTTGAGCTGAATGAAGTCAACATACATCTAAGTGTTTTTTTGGAAGTTGCCTAATGAGATACTCTTCGTCCAATTAAAGGTATCTAGTGTCCTTACTAAAATAGCCTAATGGACCTTGTGATTGCAAACTACAAACAACAAACCGATGGCTACATCACTGTGTAGGAAGTTCCCTTGTCTTTGGTCGTATGTTCTATCGACATATACGTAGCTTATTTTAAAGAGAAATACTCTGTTTCTTCAAATTCAAGAGGTAAAGCTAACGGACGTTCTCTGCAACCACCCTGGAATATGTCATGATGGAATCGAAGGATGCGGAAGCGCAACCCTGTGGATGATATATGTAGACAAATTTGATAATCCCTTGGTTTACATAAAAAGAATCGCGAGGGAGCGTTACGGTAAAATTGACCGGTTTTGATTTCGGGAGTCTCTTTACTGTAAGATTAGTCAGTTACCAACTACACAACTAACTGCCTGTTTTCAACTTACCTTGACATATTCAAAAGGAATGTACAAATAATGTCACCCACTGGAATTTGGAGGATGCATCACGATGTGTCCTTACCCGTGATTGTTGTGTAGGAAATACCACATTATGATGTAACCTACTGCTATATCTGTCTCCTCCTTACCTGTGTTAGTGGTGTAGTAAACAAACCATTCTGATGTATTCTATAACACTTTTTGCATTTTCTTACCTCTGGTTTTGTAAATGTTCCATTACAATCACCGTTTTCGTCTGTCGTTTTAACGTCAACACAAGATGCACGTCTCCGTCGTTCGACACGTGATAAAACGTTTACATGCGCAAATTGTATGAGAGCGGCAAACACAAATAAAAGGCAAATGGCCATCCACACATCTATGGCTTTGATGTAGGACACTCGGGGAAGCTCTGATCGAGCGGACGACGACATGGTTGTCATGGTGAGGACGGTGAGCAGGCCAAGTGAAATTCGGGCAGGAATCGCATCTATGTTTAACCAAAACGACACCCAAGACAGCATGACAATGAGGCTGGTTGGGATGTAGACCTGGATCAAGTAGTACCCATAGTTACGAGTCAATTGGATGTTGAAACCAACACAGCTATATACGACTGCAAATAGGCGATGGATTGAGGGTTAGAGTCATGAAACAATCTGGATCAAATAAAATTGAATCTATATTTACAACGGAAAAGTTTTGTCAGTTTAAATCAATTATCAATTTTTAATTTTTAATGCACTTAACCATAAAAATAATGTATTTCTTTTAAAAATTGAAAGGTTCTGCTCATTTAATTGGATGGTTTTTCACTTGTGGAAAATGAAAATGATTTAAAGAAAAGTTGATTGTTGAAAACGCGCCTAACACTGAAAAAACGAGTCGAATAACGTTTCTGTACGTCTTTCTACAATTATATATTTTGTATAGTAACTATTTTGTTTCCCATATATTCTTTGTTTGTTTAAGATTTCCATACTAATTTTACCATCGATTTATTTTTATTTTACATCATTGTTGTATTATCTGTATACATTGCAACATAAATAATAATTGGTCACTTTGTAATACCGAAAACATAGTATGTGCAGGAACAGTACTGACCATTACTATACACCTCGTCACACGAATAAGATGTCACCTCCCCAATCTCAAACTGCGGCGACACCAGCCCGACCGTCCGCTTTACCGGGACATCGTGCCACTTAACGGACAGAAAGTCGGCACTGTGTCCATCTGAAATGGGAGGAACATGTTAGCACAGATCATGTCATGTAATCATCTTAAAAAATCAGTTAAAAATTAAAGCGTAAACATCCTTCCAAAATGAGAATCGATAATACTGCTACTACTTATTTCATTCTAAAGACGTTCCTAGCATTACAATAACTTCTTTAGTATTCTTCCTGAATTTGTCAGAAGGCATCATGACTATGTGCCGTGAACTCTCACTCTAATTGAACAACTTGTGGCACTTCATTTTTGGGTTCTTGCAGTTAATATTGCATTTAGATAACATGCGCTGTGAAACATTCAGTTCACATTTTGATAGATAGTTCATATCTTTAACCTTCAGTTCATAGCACACCAGTATACAGAATACTTTTTTGTTAAATAGTTGGATAAATAACATGGAAAGATCAGTGACGAAGGAAGACGATTTTATGTTTCGTGTCCTGTCCGGGCCCACGACCTACGGCATCCAACCGCCAAGGCTAAAAATATCAATAGCAGTACCTACAACTACACCACCATGACCATCTTAAAAAGGGTTTAAATGTTGCAATGGTCAGTAATCCGATACTCTCGACATGGTCAAAGTTTCAAATCGTCTTTTATTGATAAGAGTACCTGGGCCCAGTTGTTCAAAACTATCGTTAGGGTTCAACAAGCCCCCTAAAAGAGGTAATAGTCACCCTAAATTTCAACCCCATGGCAAGTCATATTCGAATACCTTTATCACAAATCGGAATATATATATGTAATTTAAATACATTGAACTTGTACATAAGCTATTAAAAAGGTTATAACCAGGTCAACGAAGTCAAAAATACGGCATTAAGGCTGATGTAATGATAAAAGTTGCTCACCAGATTTATAACATGTCAATCTCCTAAGTGACCCAACTGAATGTTTCGAAATTGCATGTTATTTGAAGATCATTTATATACCTAGGTCAAGCGGGGCTTTATTTCTCTTTAACTATGTGTGGAGAGGCATACCGGCCCCACAAGTAGATGATTGTTGCTATGGGAATGTACAAAAATCATAGTAAAACGTCAGAGTGACATATTTTAACGATATATATGTGTATAACCATAGACATTTGACCATAAATACTACTTAAACTTCATATAAAATGTCCTTCCTTAACATTCAATATTATAATAAAAGAGCTAGACTTGTTGTAAACATTATTGTACTTTTCAGCTTCAATGTTTATAACATGTCTAGCGCATTCATATAATCACATAATGTTATCAAATGACACATCATCTCAAGTTCATTTATCGATCAAGGCTACTTAGCCATTGTTTTCTTATTTAAAATTTGCTAAAATGTATTACCAGGAGATTTAATTATGATTTTAGTGATTTCGCATGGCAACATCTATCTTTATTTGTGGTCGGAATTCCTCAACAGTTAGTAGAAGAGAAATAAAGCTCCGCATGACCTAGGTATATAAATCAACTTTAGATTATGAGTCATTTCCCAGCACTCAGTAGGGTTGCAAAAGAGATTGACATGTTATAAGTCCGGTGAACTATTTTTATAAAGACATCAGCCTTAATGCATTTTTTTGACTACGTTAACCTGGCTATGTATTTTTTGTATGGCCAATGTACCAGTTCAATATATGTAAATAACATATGTGAGTTCCGAATTGTAATTGAGGTCTTTTAACATGACTTACCAGGGGGTTGGAATTTTAGTTGACTACGTCATCTTTTAGGGGACTTGTTGAATCTTAAGCTAACAACGTCGTTTACTTTTAACGACTCGCTAACAATTCTTTAACGACATCGTTAGCCTAACAATAGTTTTGAACAACTGGGCCTAGGATCGCCATGTATAAATATATACATGGATACGAACAGTATACACGATTTTCGCCTGCATGTCTTTCTATTTAACTGGGACCGTTTTGAAACAAACCCATTACGCACGATATACGTTTATGGTACAATGAACGGTTGTACGTATCGTCATGTCGTACAGATGAGGAATAATAGATAATTTCATATTAAATTAATTTACGGGTGTATACTACAGTTTTGAAATTGCCACGTGGTATTCAATCCTGTCAATTTACTAAAACCCCGCTTTTATTACTCAATCACATTCAGGTACCATTGAAATCATTTAAAGTGAACGCTGTGCATTTAAATCTAGTAAACTAGTAATGTAGCAGGACATAAGCCTCCCCGTATACCAATTGAATACATTCGATAATTGGGTTAACCATACCAATTGATGCATTCTCCCTTACATATAACTTACAACTTTCCACCTCAAACCGACAGATTTGTTCATCCAATGGATATTTATGAAGTCGCATGAAGCAGGAAAACGTCCCAGTTATCCTACAATACAGCAGGTAGAGAGGTATAACAGTACATATCCTACAACACACCAGGTAGAGATATATAACAGTACAGATCCTACAACACACCAGGTAGATATGTATAACAGTACAGATCCTACCACACCCAAGTTAGATATGTATAACAATACAGATCCTACAACACACCAGGTAGAGGTATATAACAGTACAGATCCTACCACAAACAAGTTAGATATGTATAATAATACAGATCCTACAACACACCAAGTAGAGATGTAAAATAGTACATATCCTAAAACACAGCAAGTAGATATGTATAACAGTACAGATCCTACAACACACCAGGTAGAGATGTATAACAGTACAGATCCTACAACACACCAGGCAGATATGTATAACAATACAGATCCTACAACACACCAGGTAGATATGTATAACAATACAGATCCTACAACACACCAGGTAGATATGTATAACAGTACAGATCCTACCACACACAAGTTAGATATGTATAACAATACAGATCCTACAACACACCAGGTAGAGGTATATAACAGTACAGATCCTACCACAAACAAGTTAGATATGTATAATAATACAGATCCTACAACACACCAAGTAGAGATGTAAAATAGTACATATCCTAAAACACAGCAAGTAGATATGTATAACAGTACAGATCCTACAACACACCAGGTAGAGATGTATAACAGTACAGATCCTACAACACACCAGGCAGATATGTATAACAATACAGATCCTACAACACACCAGGTAGATATGTATAACTGTACAGATCCTACAACACACCAGGTAGATATATATAACAATACATATCCTACAACACACCAGGTAGATATGTATAACAGTACAGATCCTACAACACACCAGGTAGATATGTATAACAGTACAGATCCTACAACACACCAGGTAGATATGTATAACAATACAGATCCTACAACACACCAGGTAGATATGTATAACAATACAGATCCTACAACACACCAGGTAGATATGTATAACAATACAGATCCTACAACACACCAGGTAGATATGTATAACAATACAGATCCTACAACACACCAGGTAGATATGTATAACAATACAGATCCTACAACACACCAGGTAGATATGTATAACAATACAGATCCTACAACACACCAGGTAGATATGTATAACAATACAGATCCTACAACACACCAGGTAGATATGTATAACAATACAGATCCTACAACACACCAGGTAGATATGTATAACAATACAGATCCTACAACACACCAGGTAGATATGTATAACAATACAGATCCTACAACACACCAGGTAGATATGTATAACAATACAGATCCTACAACACACCAGGTAGATATGTATAACAATACAGATCCTACAACACACCAGGTAGATATGTATAACAATACAGATCCTACAACACACCAGGTAGATATGTATAACAATACAGATCCTACAACACACCAGGTAGATATGTATAACAATACAGATCCTACAACACACCAGGTAGATATGTATAACAATACAGATCCTACAACACACCAGGTAGATATGTATAACAATACAGATCCTACAACACACCAGGTAGATATGTATAACAATACAGATCCTACAACACACCAGGTAGATATGTATAACAATACAGATCCTACAACACACCAGGTAGATATGTATAACAATACAGATCCTACAACACACCAGGTAGATATGTATAACAATACAGATCCTACAACACACCAGGTAGATATGTATAACAATACAGATCCTACAACACACCAGGTAGATATGTATAACAATACAGATCCTACAACACACCAGGTAGATATGTATAACAATACAGATCCTACAACACACCAGGTAGATATGTATAACAATACAGATCCTACAACACACCAGGTAGATATGTATAACAATACAGATCCTACAACACACCAGGTAGATATGTATAACAATACAGATCCTACAACACACCAGGTAGATATGTATAACAATACAGATCCTACAACACACCAGGTAGATATGTATAACAATACAGATCCTACAACACACCAGGTAGATATGTATAACAATACAGATCCTACAACACACCAGGTAGATATGTATAACAATACAGATCCTACAACACACCAGGTAGATATGTATAACAATACAGATCCTACAACACACCAGGTAGATATGTATAACAATACAGATCCTACAACACACCAGGTAGATATGTATAACAATACAGATCCTACAACACACCAGGTAGATATGTATAACAATACAGATCCTACAACACACCAGGTAGATATGTATAACAATACAGATCCTACAACACACCAGGTAGATATGTATAACAATACAGATCCTACAACACACCAGGTAGATATGTATAACAATACAGATCCTACAACACACCAGGTAGATATGTATAACAATACAGATCCTACAACACACCAGGTAGATATGTATAACAATACAGATCCTACAACACACCAGGTAGATATGTATAACAATACAGATCCTACAACACACCAGGTAGATATGTATAACAATACAGATCCTACAACACACCAGGTAGATATGTATAACAATACAGATCCTACAACACACCAGGTAGATATGTATAACAATACAGATCCTACAACACACCAGGTAGATATGTATAACAATACAGATCCTACAACACACCAGGTAGATATGTATAACAATACAGATCCTACAACACACCAGGTAGATATGTATAACAATACAGATCCTACAACACACCAGGTAGATATGTATAACAATACAGATCCTACAACACACCAGGTAGATATGTATAACAATACAGATCCTACAACACACCAGGTAGATATGTATAACAATACAGATCCTACAACACACCAGGTAGATATGTATAACAATACAGATCCTACAACACACCAGGTAGATATGTATAACAATACAGATCCTACAACACACCAGGTAGATATGTATAACAATACAGATCCTACAACACACCAGGTAGATATGTATAACAATACAGATCCTACAACACACCAGGTAGATATGTATAACAATACAGATCCTACAACACACCAGGTAGATATGTATAACAATACAGATCCTACAACACACCAGGTAGATATGTATAACAATACAGATCCTACAACACACCAGGTAGATATGTATAACAATACAGATCCTACAACACACCAGGTAGATATGTATAACAATACAGATCCTACAACACACCAGGTAGATATGTATAACAATACAGATCCTACAACACACCAGGTAGATATGTATAACAATACAGATCCTACAACACACCAGGTAGATATGTATAACAATACAGATCCTACAACACACCAGGTAGATATGTATAACAATACAGATCCTACAACACACCAGGTAGATATGTATAACAATACAGATCCTACAACACACCAGGTAGATATGTATAACAATACAGATCCTACAACACACCAGGTAGATATGTATAACAATACAGATCCTACAACACACCAGGTAGATATGTATAACAATACAGATCCTACAACACACCAGGTAGATATGTATAACAATACAGATCCTACAACACACCAGGTAGATATGTATAACAATACAGATCCTACAACACACCAGGTAGATATGTATAACAATACAGATCCTACAACACACCAGGTAGATATGTATAACAATACAGATCCTACAACACACCAGGTAGATATGTATAACAATACAGATCCTACAACACACCAGGTAGATATGTATAACAATACAGATCCTACAACACACCAGGTAGATATGTATAACAATACAGATCCTACAACACACCAGGTAGATATGTATAACAATACAGATCCTACAACACACCAGGTAGATATGTATAACAATACAGATCCTACAACACACCAGGTAGATATGTATAACAATACAGATCCTACAACACACCAGGTAGATATGTATAACAATACAGATCCTACAACACACCAGGTAGATATGTATAACAATACAGATCCTACAACACACCAGGTAGATATGTATAACAATACAGATCCTACAACACACCAGGTAGATATGTATAACAATACAGATCCTACAACACACCAGGTAGATATGTATAACAATACAGATCCTACAACACACCAGGTAGATATGTATAACAATACAGATCCTACAACACACCAGGTAGATATGTATAACAATACAGATCCTACAACACACCAGGTAGATATGTATAACAATACAGATCCTACAACACACCAGGTAGATATGTATAACAATACAGATCCTACAACACACCAGGTAGATATGTATAACAATACAGATCCTACAACACACCAGGTAGATATGTATAACAATACAGATCCTACAACACACCAGGTAGATATGTATAACAATACAGATCCTACAACACACCAGGTAGATATGTATAACAATACAGATCCTACAACACACCAGGTAGATATGTATAACAATACAGATCCTACAACACACCAGGTAGATATGTATAACAATACAGATCCTACAACACACCAGGTAGATATGTATAACAATACAGATCCTACAACACACCAGGTAGATATGTATAACAATACAGATCCTACAACACACCAGGTAGATATGTATAACAATACAGATCCTACAACACACCAGGTAGATATGTATAACAATACAGATCCTACAACACACCAGGTAGATATGTATAACAATACAGATCCTACAACACACCAGGTAGATATGTATAACAATACAGATCCTACAACACACCAGGTAGATATGTATAACAATACAGATCCTACAACACACCAGGTAGATATGTATAACAGTACAGATCCTACAACACACCAGGTAGATATGTATAACAGTACAGATCCTACAACACACTAGGTAGATATGTATTACAATACAGATCCTACAACACACCAGGTAGATATGTATAACAATACAGATCCTACAACACACCAGGTAGATATGTATAACTGTACAGATCCTACAACACACCAGGTAGATATGTATAACAGTACAGATCCTACAACACACCAGGTAGATATATATAACAATACAGATCCTATTAGTTCTTTGAATAGAACAAAAATACAACATTATTTCATGAACATTGTATTTATTGAGCTATTACTACATAGAAGATAGAAAGGTTAAACTATAGCAGCGAACGCCATAGTTCCAATACATGCATCATCATTTACAATTAAGTATATCATACCGAGTTTTTAACCGAGTATGCGAACCGACAGAGCAGTTGATAGGCATTCGCTGCTTTGACCAGTAGATGCAAAATGACAATGAAAGGAAAAAAAGATGTGTGTTGATTTACTTACCTTCTGCTGAAGTAGACTGTTCCGTCGGGGTAAAGGTACATCAGACTATTTGGTACTGTGACGTGGTGGAAGTTGGCTACCTTTTCGTTCCTGATATAGAGATCGGGTACCCATATTGATGACACTTGACGACTGTCCAGCTCTAAGTACCCTTTGTCATCTACGGCTGTATGCATCAGACGTGAATCGTTCCACGTCTGCCGGAAAAACATACTCATCTGGAAGTCCTGTCAAAATAACAAAAAGATATATCGTATACTGTGAATTGTGAGGTTGTTAGAATAATTGTTTCATAATAAAAACCCAACACCTTTGTTCAAAAAATCAATTATGATGAATCTTTTTTAATTAGGTACAATCGTGACAACAGTTTTCTTTCATCGAAAGATTTGACTTAGTTTCTTTTATATCCTCTGCATAGGGGGATTAAAAAAATAACACCTTAAAGTAAGTAACTTCTATTTTTATTGCGGGATTAAATATAATAGACAACCTAATTAAGAAAGGTGAATCAACGCTTATATCGATAGCAAAGGCAAGGTTCTAGAAATACGTGATATTATTGATAACTGTGTATTTTTTGTATCTGTTAGGGGACATACAAATGCTTACCATGTTAGCCTCACTGACAGAGTCGATGGACAAAATGTAAATCTGCACCGTGTCCACGACAGGTCCCCCTTGAACAATGATGAATTATATTACAAGGACAAATGCTGCTTCAACATATTTTCAGTAAATAAATAACAGTACAATAACGCTAGCCAGATTTTACACTGGTAACGGGAGAGCATTCTTCATAAATTAAATATACATCTAGTTGATGTGTATTCCATCTTGTCTATTCACAAATTGTCAATAATGTTTAATCAGCAAACATTCCAAGGATGTGTATGTTTATCAAAAAATATTCCGTAATTTAAAAAAAAAATATCCTAATCGACGTAAGATAAGATATGACGCTATATTTTGCAACTCATGACGACATTTTATATATGTAAGTCGAGCTAAAGAGTAAACATCTCATATGTAGAAACACACCGTATTACGTACAGTCAGGTTGTGTACTATAGCAACAATTAATATAATATGATGGGTTGGACAAAAAAGACATAAACAAAAAAACGAAAAGAAAATATATGTTATTGGACAGTACATGTATACATGTGACAAAACAAAAGAGCACAACATGAGATACAAAATCAGATCAAACAAGTACCGATTGCTTTTACCTGTTGTGTAGAAAGGTCGAATTGCTGGATCATAGTCCGTAAATAAGGCCTTGGTCAAGGATTGTCTGAAATAAGCAACTATAGAAAATCAATTCATTGGCAATTTTGTTTCTTGTAATTGTTAGCATAAATATTTTTATCAAATAAACACAAAAGAAAAAATTGGGACTCAGAGTCGTCACAAAACCCCATTCAACACACTGGAGGTGAAGTAAGGTCGACAGGGGAGGTAAGCGTGTCCTAAACAATATGCGACACCGTCATGATTTCTTCCGTCAAAACTCAGGAAATTATTGCATCCATGTCTTTGTATAATGAAAACAAAAGTTGAAGTCAGGTCAAAGTGATAACTGTTAAAATATACAGTACAGATTGGAGCAATTTCAGATAAGAATAAAGTCACAATTTGCCATATATTCTTGGCATAACAAATTTACATATTCCGAGGTTGGATGAGCGGCTACGCTATAAAGCAACAACCGTGTTTATGTCTGTTTACGAAAATACAACATAAACAAAGATAAATTAATACATGAAAGTTAAATATAATATTGTATCATACACGGCGTGTAATATTGTGTATATCACACCATGCACTGTATGACTATATTGTATGACTTCGTGCAACGGGTTCTACTCAATGTATGATTGTATTGTAAGACTTATGTAACAGTGATACTGTCTATTATAATACTGTATAATTTATTAAGTGATGCTTGTAATACTGTTTATTACAATGATGCATGATTGCTTAGTACATTTACATATGTAAACTTGTTTGTCCTTGGTAACGATTGGTAGCTTGCCTATCGAAGCATATGATCAATTCAGCGTGCTACATGCAGCCACCAACAGAATATTGTTTGTAATCCACTTGAAAGAGAATAAGATTTCGCCTGCGAATTTGATTGAAACTTAATGCTGTCATTCCTTTCGCTGTGGTATCTTATTAGTTTCTGCTGTTGTCTTTTTCTATCGACTTCCGATTTTGTCCCAGTGTGTTGACAATGTGGTATATATTTTGTTTAAATTCTTAAGGCATTAAAATAACTGAAATATAATGAACATGAAGTCGCTATTTGAATAGAGTATTGAATACTCAGTTTAGCTAAACCATGACGCATATTTTCGTAATGCAAGCAGTAAATATGATTACTTACATTTGAAGCGAAATATTCTCGGGAGAATTTCCAACGACAGCGCTGCTTAAACTCCACAGAATAAAGACACCTATCGCGTATCTTCTGAGCGTCCTCATCTCGGATCGCGCATACAGATTTGTCCGAGATTCCGGCTCTATGTCAATTATGAAAATGGCCTTCAAATCACACTACAACACACTAGTGACTGTTAATCCTATTAGAATCTTATACACCCACTATTCATTGGTAAACGTTCCGAATAAAGCTATTCACTACTGAATACACACAGCGGTAGTTGAATATATACAAACCGCGAGCGTTTACCTGTCACGGTAGAAATGGCTCATGTGACGTCATCTATATGATCAATCATAACAGAGTATGTGTTATAAGATTAAGAAAACACAAATTGGTGTTTAAGTGTAATTGGCGGCCAAATTCACACACGTCGTATCAAATATGGTCAATAGCCAATACTGTCAACACCGGCATTTGTGTTTGGTTAACGCCGCGCCGTGTCATTAAGCTAATGTAAATTTGAATCTATCAGCCGAACAAGTCATTGTGTAGATGTCGGTAGATAGAAACATGTCCCTTTTACACATGTGTACTATGTTTTATTGATAATTAAGGTGTACTATAAAGTCGGGTTTAGGATTGTTTGCTCACTAACAATATTTTACAAGTACATCATAACAGAGCAAGGATGGTGGGGAGCAGCACTAATGGCCTTTTCTACAATCAATGTTTCCTGATTTGTTTGGCGTTAAATAGATGTACGTAATTACTGAATCCATTGGATTACAAAGCACAATTTAGAAGTCACTTCCTTCTCTACTAATAGAAGTTTGTCGTAAATACTCCGATAGATATCAGAAAACGTCATTAATGATTACAAATTACTTGTTTCTACTTCCAACTGTTAACGACTCGGGTTATATATTATAAACATGACCATCTCGGCATTGCTAACGTCTTTTGATAATGATAAAGAAAACACGACTAGTCAGAATACCCTGGTAATGTACATGTTGCGTAAATCGGAATTTGCGGCGTGGTTCTAATTTGGCATTTTTTTTTTTTATTATTGTTGTTTTATTATTCCAAAACAGAGGCTTTTTCGTGCACCAAATTTCTTTTCCCCCTCCAGTTGCACTGTGTTAAATTTGTATGCGCTATCATTCCCGTGTGGTAGTGTATATCATCACAACCAATCAGACGTTATCATACAATATATATAAGGTCTATGTCGCCCTCGTCATCATTTTAAAGCCATATCGATTAATCCTTCAGAGTAGGTTTTACGCCTGATATCAGATTAAAGGTCGAAATAACACTGGAAAGTCACGACACATTAAGTAGGATAATTTATTTATGGTTATTGTTCAAACTAAATACATATCTACTTTCTGTGTATACGTTGCCTGTTTGTGTATGTGAGTATGTGTTTTACGTTCAACATTTTGATCTGCAAGAATTTGAAATATGCTTCAATTTAGTTGTGATATGTATTATATAACTTGTTTAGACTACTGTAAGCTATGTCCCGTCTGCAATGTGATTTCTGCAACGATGAAGCAAGCATCATGTACAATGAAGTAGAGGTCATTCAATGAACTTTTCTATTTGATTTTTCCATCCATCCTACGTTACTTGGCGTTTTCCTTTTCCATGCTAATATGTTCTGCTACTATTTTGCTATTACATTATCTGTACACATATGAACTAATATTACAAACGTTACCATTGTAGTGCAATGACATGTAAATGTGATGTCACGACGTTGAAGTAAAACCTGAAGAGCCTTGTGTGAAGGGTGAAAGCTGCTAGTAGTGTAGTCGGTCGTTAGATTTTTTTTATTTTTTTTTTATACTTTTTCCATAATTCAATCAATCAATATATTCAATTCACATTTTATATAAGTCTTACGTAAAACGTTGAATATTATAGAACAAATATATTATGTATAAGTATAATAACCAAGGCTTCTCTGAATGAAGACTATGTATCAACTGACAGATGACATGTTTTATATGGATTTTCTACGATCTAATTACCTAGCTGGAATATATATGTATTAAATATGTAACTGTAATGACAAATAGTATTTACTTGTAAAAGAGTATACAAGTCGGTAAACCAAGAATACGATATTCTTGACTATGGGCTAACGTATGATTGGGATGACGTATTTAACTACCTGAAATGAGTTTCACATTCGTCTAAAGCGTGGTAACAATCAACAACAGTGTTGATATCCTCTAATCGGTAAATAATGTTTTATCTAACTTGAAGATAATACATTATTGAACAAAACAGGAATGCAGTCGTGTTGATGAGAGTAACAAACCATTGGTCTACTTCGAATTTGAGAAATAACGAGCGCCGAAAAATGTCAACGAAGACGTGTGTATAATTAACATCTAATGGCTATATCCTTTACTCAAATAGGGGCACACATAAAGAGGCATGTATTCATATCATGAGCGTAAGGGTGAGTATGTACTACATGTAGGTAAAAAGATATATATATATATATACAAGGTTACAGAAATTTCATAACGATACTGGCCAACAAACTTAACAAAGGTTAAAAGCTGGCAATTCTATATCTACATATATATTGATATAAATGTGTTCATATAATCTGTAAAGTATATTGTTATATGGAATGAATCGAATTGCGACAGACGGATATGGCGATGGACAGGTAGAACATAATAACAATAGGTAAATCATGGATGCATCCATTCCCACTTCATGTAATGGAGGAAGAACAATGTATCGTATTTCTTATTCATAATCGATGTACGTAGTTGGACATAAAAGGATTTCATTAATTGTCGCCGTGCTAATCTTTGTTAAAGGTATTGTTCTGCTGTTTGTTCTGTCGCACCTGGGACATATATATCATGGAAGGTACATACAGATTTAGAGGCCACAATGGGACCAGATCAATACAACAAACACAGCCTGAAAGACGTCGGAATTTACTTTAAACGACGTTAAAAGCTACAGCTTCACTGTGAATAGTAAAAAAGGGAAAATCGTAGCAACATAATAAAAATAACGGTCTATAGTGCATTATTATAATGATATTGATGTGGTACATGTAACATGTCGAGTGTGCTTCATGGTCATTCGTAATACATATTGAGCGAATTATTAAAATATTGATTTATGACCTCAAATAGCGTCAGAAGACTATTTCAAAGTCAGGAATGAGCTATCCCTTGCTTTCATCGTTAAAGAATAGCCCTCGCGACAACCATGTCTTTGTTCTGACAGTAGGAATAGGAATGACCACATTTGAATTAATGTTTGCAGATACGTGAAGATAGAAATATAAATCCATTATCATGGTTTTATATATCAATTAACTTCAACCTTGGAACGCTTATGGAATCATTTTTCCTTAACCATATATATACAAAACTGATACATACTTTTAGAGATGAGAGAGTGTGATGGTTGCTCCATGTGATGACGAAGATGGGAAAGTGTTCTGGTTGCTCCATGTGATGATGAAGATAGGAGAGTGTGATGGTTGCTCCATGTGATGATAAAGATGGGAGAGTGTGATGGTTGATCCATTTGATGATGAAGATGGGAGAGTGTGATGGTTGATCCATGTGATGATGAAGGTGGGAGAGTGTGATGGTTGCTCCATGTGATGATGAAGATGGGAAGAGTGTGGTGGTTGCTCCATGTGATGATGAATATGGGAGAGTGTGATGGTTGGTCCATGTGATGATGGATATAGGAGAGTGTGATGGGTACTCCATGTGATGATGGAGATGGGTGAGCATGATGGTTGATCCATGTGATGAACGAAAATGGGAGAGTGTGATGGTTGCTCCATGTGATGACGAAGATGGGAGAGTGTAATGGTTTCTCCATGTGATGACGAAGATGGGAGAGTGTGATGGTTGCTCCATGTGATGATGAAGATGGGAGAGTGTGATGGTTGCTCCATGTGATTACGAAGATGGGAGAGTGTAATGGTTGGTCCATGTGATGATGAAGGGGGGAGAGTGGGATGGTTTCTCCATGTGATGATGAAGATGGGAGAGTGTGATGGTTGCTCCATGGGATGATGAAGATGGGAGAGTGTGATGGTTGCTCCATGTGATGATGAAGATGGGAGAGTGTGATGGTTTCTCCATGTGATGATGAAGATGGGAGAGTGTGATGGTTGCTCCATGTGATGATGAAGATGGGAGAGTGTGATGGTTTCTCCATGTGATGATGAAGATGGGAGAGTGTGATGGTTGCTCCATGTGATGATGAAGATGGGAGAGTGTGATGGTTTCTCCATGTGATGATGAAGATGGGAGAGTGTGATGGTTGCTCCATGTGATGATGAAGATGGGAGAGTGTGATGGTTTCTCCATGTGATGATGAAGATGGGAGAGTGTGATGGTTGCTCCATGTGATGATGAAGATGGGAGAGTGTGATGGTTTCTCCATGTGATGATGAAGATGGGAGAGTGTGATGGTTGCTCCATGTGATGATGAAGATGGGAGAGTGTGATGGTTTCTCCATGTGATGATGAAGATGGGAGAGTGTGATGGTTGCTCCATGTGATGATGAAGATGGGAGAGTGTGATGGTTGTTCCATGTGATGATGAAGATGGGAGAGTGTGATGGTTGATCCATGTGATGATGAAGATGGGAGAGTGTAATGGTTGGTCCATGTGATGATGAAGGTGGGAGAGTGTGATGGTTGATCCATGTGATGATGAAGATGGGAGAGTGTAATGGTTGGTCCATGTGATGATGAAGGTGGGAGAGTGTGATGGTTTCTCCATGTGATGATGGAGATAGGAGAGTGTGATGGTTTCTCCATGTGATGATGAAGGTGGGAGAGTGTGATGGTTTCTCCATGTGATAATGGAGATAGGAGAGTGTGATGGTTTCTCCATGTGATGATGGAGATAGGAGAGTGTGATGGTTTCTCCATGTGATGATGAAGGTGGGAGAGTGTGATGGTTGGTCCATGTGATGATGGAGATGGGAGAGTGTGATGGTTTCTCCATGTGATGATGGAGATGGGAGTGTGATGGTTTCTCCATGTGATGATGGAGATAGGAGAGTGTGATGGTTTCTCCATGT